GCTCTCCTTAAAAAGAATTTGGGCTCCCAAGAATGCTAAATAACTTAAGGGGAGGTGGGAGGGAAACAAAAAAATCAGCATAAAACCGGATATCCTGAGGGGGGAAAACCAATATAAAGCCCAAGCCCAGCTAAGGGGGAAAGCAGGTTGTAAAAATTAATGAGAATAATTGTTGTGAATTCTTGCTTTTGAAAGAACCCTCACGAGGGCAGAACCTTAATTATTTCTGTCTATTAGGGTTCATTTCCTGGTCCTAAGCAGCAAGCTAGTACCTAATAAATACGAGCTAGTAACACAATGATTTAAGCCCCAGCAAAATGGTGCTTAACTGCAGGGGAAGTTAATATTTGGGAATCAACCTGATTGCAAGCACCCATTGTGTAAATGGCAAGGAAATGAAATGGGGCATGTGACCTATTTTAACACCTCAGTATTTCTGGGGTATTGATTCAGGGGGAAGGTGGTCGACCAAGCTGTTGACAACCCCATTGAAAACTTCACCCAAACCTTCTTCCTTAGCTGAAGCCTCTTTTGGGGAGCAGGGCTGGGGAGGGGGGAGATCCCAGTCTGCTTAAATATCTTTTTCAGGCTGTTTAAAATATCAGGGGAAATAAGCCCAAGCCCTGCTTTGGGGTTGCAGCTGTGCTCTGGAAATAAATGGAGGGGTGGGAAATCAGGCAGGTATTTCTATGAGCTGTGTAAGCACAGACTCAAGTGCATTTGTGGGCAAGTCACACAATTAATGCTGGAATTGAATTCACCTCTCACATAGCTCTTGAAACCTAAAACACATGCATGCATAGATTGTTTGGGTATATATGTGTGTGTAAAACACATGGGTGTATAAAAACCATGTGTAAAATATCATAGACTGGTTTGAGTTGGAAGGGACCTTAAAGATCATCCAGTTCCACCCCCCTGCATGGGCAGGGACACCTCCCACCAGCCCAGGCTGCTCCAACCTGATTGCAAGCACCCATTGTGTAAATGGCAAGGAAATGAAATGGGGCATGTGACCTATTTTAACACCTCAGTATTTCTGGGGTATTGATTCAGGGGGAAGGTGGTCGACCAAGCTGTTGACAACCCCATTGAAAACTTCACCCAAACCTTCTTCCTTAGCTGAAGCCTCTTTTGGGGAGCAGGGCTGGGGAGGGGGGAGATCCCAGTCTGCTTAAATATCTTTTTCAGGCTGTTTAAAATATCAGGGGAAATAAGCCCAAGCCCTGCTTTGGGGTTGCAGCTGTGCTCTGGAAATAAATGGAGGGGTGGGAAATCAGGCAGGTATTTCTATGAGCTGTGTAAGCACAGACTCAAGTGCATTTGTGGGCAAGTCACACAATTAATGCTGGAATTGAATTCACCTCTCACATAGCTCTTGAAACCTAAAACACATGCATGCATAGATTGTTTGGGTATATATGTGTGTGTAAAACACATGGGTGTATAAAAACCATGTGTAAAATATCATAGACTGGTTTGGGTTGGAAGGGACCTTAAAGATCATCCAGATCCAACCCCCCTGCATGGGCAGGGACACCTCCCACCAGCCCAGGTTGCTCCAAGCCCCATCCAACCTGCCCTTCAACACTGCCAGGGATGGGGCAGCCACAGCTTCCCTGGGCAAAGAAATGGTGTGAGGTGGATAGGAAGTGTGGGTGAGCAGGTTTGCAAGCAGGATGCACTGCAGGGGGTGGCTGCAAGTGGGAAATGGGGTGTAAATGGGAAAAAATAGGTGGGACCCTGACAGAGACATGAGGATGGACGGGCAGCTGGATGCAAACACAGCCCACTGGGGCTGCCAGGAGTGATGGCAACGGGCAATGCAGTCTGCACTGCAACAGGAAAATAGGTCTTGCCAAGCACCATCTCAGCTGGGAATGCTGAACTTGGGCTCCTGCCTGTGAAAAAGGCTCCCCTGTGCCCCTCAGCTCAGCTGGGGGTGTCACCCCTTCTGCACAGCCAGCATCTGCAGCAGCTTCAGCCTTCATATTATTCCCCATCTGCACTGGGGCAAGCTACAAATTTCATTCCCTTCCTTGGAGGGAGATGCCATTTAGGGTAGATCATTCCCTGGTTTATTTTTATGGCTGGAAATGTACTGGGTTGGGTCTTTATCTTGGGGCTCCAGCCACACTTCATTTGCTCCCCCAAACGCTTCAGCCCAGCAGGAGGAGGAACGTGCCTGTCAGGGGGGCAGGAAAGGGGGGATGTAGGAGTGTGTACAACGTGTAGGGGGGGTGTAAAAGATGTCATGGTGTCCGTGTGTGTGTGCCTGGGTCTGGTGGGACACGAGCACGTGTGTGTCTGTAGGGATTCCTGCCTCTGTCAGTGCCTCTGTTTTGACAGAGACAGATACGCAGATGTCATCCCTTATCAACCAGATGTTGTTGATTTACAATCAAATATTCCTGCTCCTCCTAACATGGCACTTTTCCCAAACTACTGTACTTACATGTTTCTGCTTTGCTTTTTTGGTTTATTTGCATGATCTTTTTTTTTATTCCTTGCTTTCTATAAAACAGCCCTATTTTTCCTCAAAGGAAAGCAGTTAAATTCAGGTCTGTTTTTTCAGAGGGAAATGTCTTTAAACCAAGCAGTGTGTCCTGTTTTATTAACTCCCACTTCTATTAATATTATATTCTTTTTCTCCAAATCCATCAAGCAGAAGTTAAACTTGATTTTATTGCATCCACAGCGGAGTTATAATTTAAGGCATAATTTGGCCAGGACTCAATTTGGATTCAGTTTACTTGTTCTGGTCGTGCCAACAACTCCTATTTTAAAGGGCAGGGAAGTATTTTCTTTTCTCCCTAGTCGGGGTGAAACCCTCTTTCTTCTCCAGCCTGCCTCTGCTCCCTGCCTTCTCCCTTGCCAGCTGATGGACAGAGGAAAAGCAATCATTTCACACAGGTTTAGGAGCTTCCTACTCACATCTCCAGGATTTATCCAGGGTGTTAAATGACCTTGCTCCGTTGGAAAAATAGAAAGACAGGATTTCACTCCCTCCAGAGCAAAGGAGCCACCCTACCTGCCTGTAAGTACCAGGAAAAGCTTGTTTGCAATTGTTTTCTCTGCAATTTGGGGAGGGATCTGGGGGGCTTTTTCCCTGAAGGAAAATGAGGGTTTTAGGGGTCTGCAGGCAGACACTGGGGGGGCAGACAGTGAAAAGCATCACAAAAAACTTCTGCTGGAAAGTCCCTCAGCCCTGAGCCTTCCTCCTCCCCAGCCCTGAACCTTCCTCCAACCCAGCCCTGAGCCTTCCTCTTCCTCAGCCCTGAGCCTTCTTCTTCCTCAGCCCTGAGCCTTCCTCCTCCTCAGCCCTGAACCTTCCTCTTCCTCAGCCCTTAGTCTTCCTCCTCCTCAGCCCTGAGCCTTCCTCTTCCTCAGCCCTGAGCCTTCTTCTTCCTCAGCCCTGAGCCTTCCTCCTCCTCTGCCCTGAACCTTCCTCCTCCCCAACCCTGAGCCTTCCTCCTCCTCCTTCCTCACTGGGTAGGGAAGCCCAAAAGCCAAGCAGGGAAAGGAGAAGGGACTGCAGCCCCGTGCTGGGGTCTCCCCAGAGCAGTTGGCAGCAGGAACCACCCCCAGCTGCACCCCAAGAAAACCTCCTTGGAGGTTTTGCTGTGGGTTTGTTGTTGGGTTTGGGGGTTTTTTGCTTTGTTTTCTTGGGCAGGCAGGGAACTGATGTCAGGCTCAGAGCCACCCTTTCCTTCCAGGGCCTCCCCCTGCCAACCCTCAGCCCCCTGCAGGGGAAGGAGCCCGTCCCCAGCCCAGGGGTTATCAGCTCCCCGGCCGCTGAGGAGAGCAACGAGCTCCCTCCTCCAGATTAGGAGGCTTTGACCGATGAGGGAGGGGGGAAAGATAAAGCCAACTTCCTCGGCTGGTCGTCTCTTCTCTGAGCAAACCATCCTGGTGAGCTAATTCCATCCCCCCCCTCCCCGGCTCGTCCCGACTTTAGATGCTTTGTGTGTCGCCAGGAATAACAGAGGGGATGGGATGGGGGGGTGGGGAGGGAAGGGGGAGAAAGGGGGGAAAGGGGGGAGAAGGAAGGAAGGGGAAAGAGGAGAAGGGGAAAGAAAAGAAAGGAGGGGAGCAAAGGGAGAAAAGAAGACAAAATAAGAAGAGGAAAAGAAAAGAAGAAGAGAAGAAGGAGGGAAAGGAGGGAAGGAGGGAAAGGAGGGAAGGAGGGAAAGGAGGGAAAGGAGGGAAAGGAGGGAAAGGAGGGAAAGGAGGGAAAGGAGGAGGCAAAGGAGAGAAGAAGGAGGGAGAGGAAGGAGAGAAGGAGGAGGGAAAGGAGGGAAAGGAGGGAAAGGAGAGAAGGAGGAAAAGGAAGGAGAGAAGGAGGGAAAGGAAGGAGAGAAGGAGGAGGGAAAGGAGAGAAGGAGGGAAAGGAGAGAAGGAGGAAAAGGAAGGAGAGAAGGAGGGAAAGGAAGGAGAGAAGGAGGAGGGAAAGGAGAGAAGGAGGAGGGAAAGGAGAGAAGGAGGAGGGAAAGGAGAGAAGGAGGAGGGAAAGGAGAGAAGGAGGAGGGAAAGGAGAGAAGGAGGAGGGAGAGGAGAGAAGGAGGAGGGAGAGGAGAGAAGGAGGAGGGAGAGGAGAGAAGAAGGAGGGAAAGGAGAGAAGGAGGAGGGAAAGGAGAGAAGGAGGAGGGAGAGGAGAGAAGGAGGAGGGAGAGGAGAGAAGGAGGAGGGAGAGGAGAGAAGGAGGAGGGAAAGGAGAGAAGGAGGAGGGAAAGGAGAGAAGGAGGGAAAGGAGAGGAGGAGGGAAAGGAGAGGAGGAGGAAGGAAAAGAGAGAAGGAGGAGGGAAAAGGAAAGCAGGAAGAGTAGGGGAAAGGAAAGAAGAAGGATGGAAAGGAAAGAAGGAAGAGTGGGCAAGAGGAAAGAAGTAAGAGTGGGGGAAAGGCAAGAAGAAGGAGGGAGAGAGAAGGGGCAAGGGGTGCCAGGAGCAGGAGAGGGAAGGAGCAGGACGCGCTTTGCCGGTCTCGCCGGCCCAGCCCCTCACCTTGTGGTTTTGGTAGGAGGTGACGGCGATGAAGGCGGTCTCCGGGAAGACGTGGGTGCAGAAGGCCGTGTTCTTGGAGCCGAAGCCGTTGTTCTCGTCCGCTTTCACGATGTGGAGCCGGGGCTGGTACTTGTGCATGGAGTTCAGGATGATCTGGGCAAGGGGAGAAGGAGAGGCCGTTCCGTGGGGGTGGGGGGGCAACAACGCGGCTCAGCCCAGCCCCCCGAGGAAGAGGAACCCGCAGGTCCTCCCACCCCAAAACTGGCTCCCCCAGAAGGGTTGATTTAGGTGCTGGGGTGGGGAACGTACCTCTCAATAAACCCCCCCAACCAAGGAACCCATCAGGGCCCCATGATCCTGTGCAAGGTGCTTCTTTACCCACTGCAGCTCCCACCCC